TTGTGCAGCTGGTTGTTTGAGTTCCTCCTTTGTTTGTGCAGCTGGTTGTTTGAGTTCCTCCTTTACTTGTGCAGCTGGTTGTTTGAGTTCCTCAGTTGTTTGTGCAGCTGGTTGTTTGAGTTCCTCCTTTACTTGTGCAGCTGGTTGTTTGAGTTCCTCAGTTGTTTGTGCAGCTGGTTGTTTGAGTTCCTCTGTTGTTTGTTCAGCTGGTTGTTTGAGTTCCTCAGTTGTTTGTTCAGCTGGTTGTTTGAGTTCCTCTTTTGTTTGTGCAGCTGGTTGTTTGAGTTCCTCTGATTGTGCAGCTGGTTGTTTGAGTTCCTCCTTTATTTGTGCAGCTGGTTGTTTGAGTTCCTCCTTTGTTTGTGCAGCTGGTTGTTTGAGTTCCTCTGATTGTGCAGCTGGTTGTTTGAGTTCCTCTATTTGTGCAGCTGGTTGTTTGAGTTCCTCTGATTGTGCAGCTGATTGTTTGAGTTCCTCCTTTATTTGTTCAGCTGGTTGTTTGAGTTCCTCTGATTGTTCAGCTGGTTGTTTGAGTTCCTCTGATTGTGCAGCTGGTTGTTTGAGTTCCTCTCTTTGTGCAGTTGGCTGATCCAGATGTTTAGGTGGATGTTTTGAAGTCTTTGCTTTACGTCTGGGAGGTAAAATTTTGTGTTGTTGATCATTGTTTTCTGACCTGCCTGGACCAAACAGTGACTCAGTCTTGGTGACTGTAACCACAGACAGTTGAGTCTCAGAAAGCTCTTCATGTTGTGCAGCAGATTTGTCTGAGGACATATTTGGACTTGTTGCCTCAGCAGCAGTTTGAGTTCTGTTCTCATCTTGTTTTGTGATGMACTGAGCAGCAGAGGATGGAGGGAGATTCTGCTCATCAGGTAAACTTTTCATCAGGTCAGACTCTGTCTTCTGGCTGGGAGCCTCCTTTTCTCTGACTGATAACTTTGACTTCTTCCTGGATGGTACAAGGGACGTTTCTTTTTTCACACCTTCATTTCCTGTAATTTCTCCGACTGCTTCCTCTCTGGATTTCTGGGTTTGAACTTCAATCTGTACGGACTCAACAGCAATTGAGGAGTCACCCTGAACAGGTGTAAGTTTGTCAGTTAAAGAAATGTTTTGTTGTGCTTTAATCTGACACTTCTCAGTCAATTGTTTGCTTTTCCGTGGAGGTGCCACAACAGATCTGTTTGTTTCCTGCAGACTTTCAGGAAAAACATCCACTGCCTGTTTGTTCCTCTCAAGCTCCTTGAATGAAACAACAAAGAAACATTTATTACACATTATCATGATGAAGTTGTGTGTTTTATATTTAATATAAATATTTAATTGGAATGAGTTACCTTCAATCTGTGAGTAAGAGAAGACTTGTGTAGGTCTGCCTGTCTGCAGGACTCTGAACTGTCTTTCTGCAGGGTTTGGAACAGCTCGACTGTCAAACAGGCTGATAGAAAATGATGGTGGGAGAAGGCCTCCTGCAGGCTGTGCTGCAACCTTTCTGCTTCTTGTAAGGACACCTAAAGCCAGCAAGAGACAATAACTGAGCAGTTTTCTGGTGAAGCAGTTAAAGCAGGAGCTGACTTATTAAATATTTAATCAGAGTTGGAGTAGTTGTTAGGAAAAAGCGTAAAAACCAAAGGAACCTGAATGGCAGAAGCTGAATCTGCTGGTTTGCTCTGGTTCCATTGTTGCAGAGCATAAAGACTGTCCTTCAGACACCCAGCTGTGTTTCTGCTGCAGCTCTCCTGATGTTCACTCAGCCTGGACTTTAAACTGGCAACAAAATGAAGGAGAACAGGAGGTTGGATTGTCTTTATGGAAATCGTACTGTGTTTGCACTTCTCTTAGAAAGAACTGCACTATAACAAACACATGGCTGTGTGAGATAAAGTCTGTGAGAACATGCAGTTAAAGCCGATTGATTCAAACTAAAAATGACACAGAGCACTGATGTAAGACCCTGTGAGGCCGGCTGCTGACAGAAGAATTAAAATGAAAGTGAAGAAGCTTGTGAGAAGTCCTGACTGAAGATGTGAAAGTGTTCCGGTCTGGATGTAGGCTGAGGTTCAGCAGGTAGACTCCAGCTGCCCACCTGGTGTGTTGTTGACACAAACATTCAACAGTTCTCATGACGTCTGCTGGTAGCTCATTGGTGGAAGATGATGAGGTCACTTCCTGCTGCAGGTTAGAAACTTTCTGACCCAAATCATCCAGAGATTTCTCACAATGCTAAGAGAAAAACACACACACACACACACACACACACACACACACACAGTTAATGGTTCCTTCCTGCAGTCCATGTTTTCTGACCCAGCAGGAAGGCTGCAGTGCTTTTCTGACCTGCAGGCTGCTCCAGTGCTGCTGCAGCTGAGCCATGTTGTCCTGAGGCTCGCTGTAACTCAGAGCCTGGTCCAGAGAGCGCAGCTCCCACTGCAGAGCTGYTGCCGCCTCCTTCAGACCCTCAGAAACCCGAGCCAGCTGACGGTCCGTCTCCTCTACCTGCGCCTCGCAGGTGATCAGCTGCTGCCTCACCTCCTGCTCCGAGCTGCTGCAGAGGTCATGGAGCTGGCTGACCTTCAGGGTCAGAGCGTCCTGACCTCCAGGGCTGCAGAAGCTCAACAAAGTGTCCTTGGCAGAGTCCAGGTCCTTCATCTCTCGATGCTCTCTGTCGAGTGTCTGCAGCAGAGCCTGGATCCAGAGGGAGACAGGGAGAGTTTAGTGTAAAGCTACAAAAATCTTCTTTACTTTGCAGGTTAGACAGAAAAATGTCAGCTGTAAAAGATGGTGATGATTTGGCCTGTGTTCATTTCTTGACAGATTTAATGAAGAAATTAACTTTCAGTTCTTTACTACACAGTGGCATACATCATGAGTCAGCTGAAACTGAAAACTGCTGCCGTGGCTCAGAAGCAGGCCTGTACACCAGTTGGMTCTGCATCACTGGAAACAGACCATAATGCATTGCAGCCTGAGCAAATAAAACAAGCTAATCCAAGCTAATGCTAAAGGATCAGCCATGGTGTGGAGATTTATCGACTGTCAGCGAACTGAAACAGTGTTTGAACCTTGAGGGTGCTGGTGGTGTTCTGAAGAGCCTGTCTGTCAGCTGGAGGCGGTCCCAGGACTCTGACGTGTTCCCTCAGCCAATCCTGAGCTGCCTTGTGCTGCTCCATCAGCTGAGTGAAGTGCCGCTCCGCCACAACCCCTTTCCCCAGATGGTCCAGCACATCCTGCCAGCAGGAAACAGCAGGTTCACTGCAGAGCCACACTGTGATGGTTTCATGACATCCTGTTGTTTTGTGTTGAAATGTTTTGGATTATTTTAATTGATATGTTTTCATGTTGGACCCCAGGAAGAGTCCCTGACTCACAGGGATCAGCAGGAAAGAAAACATTAAATTCATTTTCTCTAAAAGAAGAGCTTCTTAAATAACTCAAATTTAAAGTTAATCAACGATGAAAACACAGCTCCACCTGAACAACATGTGATAAAACAGAGTCTGTGATAAACTCACAGTTAGTTCTGTCTCCAGAGCAGAGATGGATTCTTCTTTAGCTGCTGAGGACAAATCTGTCCAACTCTGGTCTCCRGTCCTTTCAAACATCTCTTTTGCCTTCAAATAAACAGAGTTTTTACTGAGAAGTCTCCAGCTGCTCCATTACAGAGTTATACTTCTGCCCAGCACCTGAGGAGTCCTACCTCTGTCCTCAGATCTGACAGAACAGGGCCCAAGGCTTTAGCCTGGTTCAGGAGGGTCCGGGCCTGTTCCACAGCCTGCCTTCGCTCCACCAGGCCTGGCCAGGAGAAGACACGTGGAAGACTGGACGTCTGGTTCTGGAGCTCAGCCAGTTGGGCCTCAGCCTGGTCTCGTTTGACCTCAAAGGACAGCATCTGGTCCAGCACGGTCTGTAAGAGTCTAACAGGTAACAGGTGGGCCACATCAGAACCACATTAGGTTTGTGTGGAAAAGTCAATATAGAGCAGGTGTGAAGAGTTGAACCTGTGAATGTTTGACTGAACTCGTGCATTAGTAACCATACAAAGGTCCACTGTCTCAGGAAACCCTCTGGTTTTTAGAAATAAGAGCTGACTTTCAGACAATGAGAGGAGAAAGAAGACAAGTCACCATGAGGCTTTAAAAAACTACAGTATATGTGACAGAACAGATTTTGGCCTAACCGGCCCCTCATACGCCCAGCCTGTTTAGTAAATACTTTGTAAGTTTAAGTAAAGAGCTGTACAAGTATTTCAGCAGTATTTATAGAAACACATATTTGTAAGTAAACTCTGCACCTCTGTGTCTCTTCAGCAGTTTGGACAATTGTCCTCCACTGWGTCTCCATGTCTCTGACTGTCCTCTGAACGTCCTCCTTCTTGTCYTGGTCCAGGTCTGAGTGCTCACAGAGACTCTGGACTCGGTTCTTCAGCTCCATCAGCTGGGCGGCACCGTGGGACTCGGAGCTCAGGATGTTCTGAACACAAAGCCTGAGGTCAGAAACTGAAGCAGCTGTGAGGAGAGCAGTGAACACCTGGTTACCTGGGCTGTGACCAGCCTCTCCTCTGTCTGAACCTTGCTGCTCCGAGTCCCTCCCTTCATGGACTCAGCTCGGCCCTGCAGGTTCTGGAGCCAAGTCTTTGAGCTGTCTGCCTGGACCCAGAAGGACTGCAGCTCCCGGGACAGAGAGTACTGGACCTCAGCTTCCTTCAGAGCCTCCTCAGCGGTCTGCAGGAGGGTCTGCCAGAGATCCTCACAGTCTTGGACTTTGTGCTGGACCTCTAGCTTCAGGTGGTCCTCCACGTCCTGCAGCTGGGACAAATGTCTGCTCTGTGTTTGTAGCTCCATCAGTCTGGAGTCTCCTTCAGGTTTACGGCTCAGGATGTCCTGAGGGTTCACAAGCTTACAGTAAAMATCATTCAGCAGAGGAGACCAACGTCTCAGAGCTTTGTTAGACAACATGAAGCCTCAGAACTGTGCAAAAGTCTTCAGTCACCCTGGTGATAAAACTCAACTCTTTTATTATTGTTGGTTTTAATGTTTGCTGCTGAAACAACAAGGTTTCCACACCAGGGAACAGATAAATCATTATATTTTTCTATTTCTGTCTGAAGCATTTAAGTTAGAGTAGCTTCAGACGTTTTCTTTTCGACCTGAACATTTTTAAAGAAATGTGCTTCTGTTCAAAAACTCTGTGATTTGACTTTTTAAAATGTTTGGAAATAAAAAAAGCTTCAAGCTTCAGGGATGAACCAGTGTTGGAGGTTTGTTTCCTGGTCATAGAAACAGATTTTAGTCTCATTTCTCTTGTTCCATCCTGAAAACCTGATCTCCAGCTGATAATCTCCTGAAGGACAACACAGTTCTCAGGTTCTGGTTCAGGTCTTTCATGAGTTTTTCATTTCACTTTCTTGTATAATCAGGTTTTTACCAGATGGAAATAATCAAAGCAAAGAAATATTCAAATTATTTTCTCTAAGTAAAGAAAAACAAACTTTTCTTTAGTTTTGTGCAGAAATGTTTGGTTTGTCAGACTCCAGAAGAAGCAGGAGGATCTGTGTGGACCTTCAGACAGACTGAAGAACTGAAGTCTAATCGAGACAATGGAGGGGTGCATGGCTCAAGACTTTAGCACAGTCCAGACTAACCTGAGCAGACTTGATGGTCTGTTGTGGATCAGTCTGAGCGTGTGCAGGGAACAGGCTGTGCTGCCTGTCCTGCAGCCAGCTGCAGGTGGTTCCTCTCAGGGCTTCAAAGCTCCTCAGCTGAGCGTGGACAGCTTCCCTCACAGCTTCTCTGACCTTCTGCTGAAGGCTCCTCCACTGCTCCTCAGCTGCTCGGGCTTTCTGCTGGAACGTTTCATCTTCACGACACAAAGTCTGAGCCCGACTCCTGAGCTCCTGGATCCTGGAGTCTCCTTCAGTCTTTGAGCTCATGATGGACTGAAAGAGACGAGGAATGTTTGGGTTTGTTTGAAGCTGGTCAGAAACCAGCAACGAGAGGTCTCTGCTGAGTGTCTCACCCAGCAGGACCACCCTGAGAGCTCACCTGAGCTGCCTGCAGTCGTTCCTCAGGTGAAGTCCAGCTGCTCACACAGCTCAGCTGCTGCTGGAGCTCCTGCAGCCACAGATCAGTGTCCTGCTGCTGGGACTCAAACATCCTCATCTGGAGAACCAGAGAGGACATGTTTCAGTCAGGAGGAGTCAAAGTACCGTCACATGAGGAGCAGCGTCTCACTGACACCACGACATGTGCTCATGGTGGGAATCAAACCTGTGACTCTCCAGCTGGATAACTGCCCACTGAACCACAGAGGACCTGAAGGTCAGTCCTGAACACAGAAGCTCACCTCCACCTGTTTCCTCTCTGACTCCTGGCTGATCTCTGCAGCTGCAGCAGCTTCCACTTCTTTAGCAGTTAGCAGTAGCATCTTCCACTGCTCCTCCGTGGTTTTAACTGTCTGCTGAACCTGCAGCTTCCTGGCCTCATCAGCATCCTGATGGTCACACAGAGTCTGGCCCCGCCTCCTCAGGTTGTTCACCTGGATGTCACCCTCAGGTCTGCTGCTCAAAACTCTCTGAGAGGAAAACATTTTACATCCAACAGAAACAAACTAACAGCTGGAAAAATGAGTTTATCTTTGAGAACACACACCTGTGTGTGTTTTAACACACCTGAGCGGTGTTTTAACACACCTGAGCTGTGTTTTAACACACCTGTGTGTGTTTTAACACACCTGAGCTGTGTTTTAACACACCTGAGCTGTGTTTTAACACACCTGAGCGGTGTTTTAACACACCTGAGCGGTGTTTTAACACACCTGAGCTGTGTTTTAACACACCTGAGCTGTGTTTTAACACACCTGAGCGGTGTTTTAACACACCTGAGCGGTGTTTTAACACACCTGAGCTGTGTTTTAACACACCTGAGCTGTGTTTTCTGAGCTGTGTTTTAACACACCTGTGTGTGTTTTAACACACATGAGC